TGGACCCAGGAAACCCCAAAGCTGACCCCAGCCCCACTGAGTGCCTCGGGCCCCATCCCAGCCCCACGGGGTGCCCCAGCCCCAGCCCGCCCTCCACTGCCCCACAAAATGCTGCAGATCCCTCCCCATAGACCCCAGCACTGGGAGGAGGGAGCACCCAAAAAAAGAGCGGGGGGAGAGGGGGCGGCATTAGGAGCAGCATGTCCTGGTCACTCACACACCGGGTGAAGCTGTTGCACCCACAGATTTATCTTTTTTTATATATATATCTCTGTATATGTTTACACACATACATATATGCATGTTGCAAAAGGGTGTGCTTTTTGTCCTCACTTGGCATTATTTATATATATATATATATAGGTGCTTGTGTACATACGGGAAAGAATGCCACTACAACAAACAAACAAACAAACAGGGTGTTGTTCCTCTAATTATGTAACTGCAATCAGGTGTTTGTGTATGCAAATGAGGCAGGTGTCAATCAACCGGGTCCAGGGGGTGTTCCTGGCTGCATCTCTTGGTCACACACGTACACACCGTGACAAACGGAGCCAAGCTGGGTATATACATATTTATATTATCTACATGTACACAGTTATATGTTAAAAAAAAAAAAAAAAGGGAAAGGAAAACACATCTAGACAAAAAAAAAAAAAGTGATGTGGGCTGTTCTTCATTTTCTTTGGGTTTTTCCCTCTCATTATGCAACTGCAAATAGGTATTTATGTCTGCAAATGAGGCAGGTGTCAATGGGGGAATCGTGACTGCATCCCCTGGTCTCTCTCTCTCACACACACGCACCCACACACAGACAGACACACACACACAGACACACACAGACAGACACACACAGACAGACACACACAGACAGACACACACAGACAGACACACACAGACAGACACACACAGACAGACACACACAGACAGACACACACAGACAGACACACACAGACAGACACACACAGACAGACACACACAGACAGACACACACAGACAGACACACACAGACAGACACACACAGACAGACACACACAGACAGACACACACAGACAGACACACACAGACAGACACACACAGACAGACACACACAGACAGACACACACAGACAGACACACACAGACAGACACACACAGACAGACACACACAGACAGACACACACAGACAGACACACACAGACAGACACACACAGACAGACACACACAGACAGACACACACAGACAGACACACACAGACAGACACACACAGACAGACACACACAGACAGACACACACAGACAGACACACACAGACAGACACACACAGACAGACACACACAGACAGACACACACAGACAGACACACACAGACAGACACACACAGACAGACACACACAGACAGACACACACAGACAGACACACACAGACAGACACACACAGACAGACACACACAGACAGACACACACAGACAGACACACACAGACAGACACACACAGACAGACACACACAGACAGACACACACAGACAGACACACACAGACAGACACACACAGACAGACACACACAGACAGACACACACAGACAGACACACACAGACAGACACACACAGACAGACACACACAGACAGACACACACAGACAGACACACACAGACAGACACACACAGACAGACACACACAGACAGACACACACAGACAGACACACACAGACAGACACACACAGACAGACACACACAGACAGACACACACAGACAGACACACACAGACAGACACACACAGACAGACACACACAGACAGACACACACAGACAGACACACACAGACAGACACACACAGACAGACACACACAGACAGACACACACAGACAGACACACACAGACAGACACACACAGACAGACACACACAGACAGACACACACAGACAGACACACACAGACAGACACACACAGACAGACACACACAGACAGACACACACAGACAGACACACACAGACAGACACACACAGACAGACACACACAGACAGACACACACAGACAGACACACACAGACAGACACACACAGACAGACACACACACACACAGACACACACACGCACCCAGTGACGGACACGGAGCGACGCGGGCGCAGCCACAGCTGCATCTTCACCTCCGCGTGGTTTTCCCTTCCCTCCCTGCAGCGGTAACGAACCAACCCCGGACAGGGAAGAGGAGCCGCCCCACAGCGGCTGTTCGGGGCTTTCCTGTTGGTTGGTTGGTTGGTTTGTTTAAAAAAAAAAGAGTTGTGGGTTTTTTCCCCACATTTATGCAACCGCAAACAGGTGTCTTATATGCAAATTAGGCATGCGTCAATCAACCCGACTAATTGACTATTAATGAGTTAATCTGCATGATGTAAATTTCTTTGTTGCCTTTTAACTGACTAATTTACCCGCAAACAGGTGTTTCTGTTTGTGAGTCTGACGTTTCTCGAATTATCGAGTTAATTTGGTTCATAATCAACCGATCGAGCACGTGGCTCAGCTAATCTTCTGTAATTAGTTATGCAAATCGCCGTGCCGACGAATCTAGATAAATTAATTATTAATGAGCAAAAATGCATTATGCATCGAGTCTCATTAATATGTAACGCACAACTTGCATGTAATAAGTGACCGTGAAATGCAGGCCGTTAGTTAATTATTAATTAAGCTAATTACAATAGTTACATAGTAATTGCCTAATTTACATAAAGTAGCTAATACAGGGCATTATAAATGCAGTACCCGTTAGTACTTAGAGTTGTGCGTTTCTCAGCACGCAGACACGCCGGGAGCCGCGAAGGGCCCCGCTGCCCCCCCC